CATTTCGAATTCACTTTAGTTACGGCCATGGGATCCAAAAATTCACAACCACTATTTCACACAACAACACAGAATAAAAGCCAAATAAAAATTGCCAGATTTTTTTCCCGATTAAAGAACAGTAATTCGTCCATTAATATCACATGAACATATCCCATGATCTCTCATTTCCCTCACACAAATAATGCGTAATCAGAACTGAATACTACTCACATCTTAACAAAGTCTAACTAACCTAATCTTCTTCTGAATCTTCCTTACATGTGGATACACTTTTATTATGGATTCAATAAAATTACTGAACGATTTTTTTTTTCCGAATTTGATAGAATTTGATAAAAGAAAAATTCTCTTTATCACATCTACAATTCACTTTAGACAGCGCCATACAATCCCAAAATTATTCAACCCTACTTCACACAACACACAATGAAGCTTAATACAAAATAATATACATCCACAGATACTTGTCCAAATTCCCCCCTTTTCCGATTAAAGAACCATAATTCGTCCATTAATATCACATGACATATCCCATGATCTCTCCCCACACAAAATAATGCGTAATTGGAACTGAGTACTGCTCACATTATTACCAAAGTCCCAGGTAGTAACCATTATCGCCTCCAAAATGTCGCCAAACTACCAGTTACCATATTGTAAAGATCAACCCCAATTTTACTTCATAATTTCCTTATGCATCCATACTAAGAAAATCCTAAGTAGAAGAAAAGCTTTTATTTCTTAAAGAACTTTTAAATGCGATGAAAATTGATAATTAACTATTGTGTGAATAAGATAATTAACTATTGCACTATTGTGTGGATAAATTTAGTAATTTACCACTTATTGATGTAAAGCAAAATGAAATACAAATGTTTAACTCATTAAATATTGTTAGAATGTTCATGAAAATGTCTACAGATATCTACAGTAGATAAAGACAGTTCAAATCAAGTTAAACTCAACAAGAAACATTACACTGAAGAGAAGATGGTTGGATCCTAGCACAGCCCACACCCTCGTCGCGAATGATTTTGATTATGGCGTGTATCAATGAAGTGAAAATAGGTCAATGTGTACATGGATACTAAGTGTGCGCAATTCTTTGACTTGTTATTTTCAAGTTGGCGATTTTGAGAAATGCACGAAGCAGTGCGCACTTTCCCAGTTTGTCGCCAAAGGTGTGGGCTCTCCTAGGATTTTACCAAGAAAAGATGGAGGAATAGAATTTGCACAATAAAAGTTTCATCAATTCAATAACATCACTTACAGCAGGAAAACATTTTCCTTAGTAAACACTAAAAAACCAAGAGATTCTGTGATCTATTGGGAGATGTGATGAAAAAATAGGACAGTTACCAGCCATGCATATGCCATTACATTTTCAGGAAGACTATGTAATGAAGTATGCCCATAAACATCCACTTATGTCAGTTTTGAGTCGTATGCAGAAGACTGAAATTACTAGATTTCAAGTAGAATATTTTATTTGATATTTATTAACATATTTTATTTCAAAAACAAATAATAATAATTATTGTAATTTTCGCCCATTATTAATTCATACACTTTAATTTAGCTGACAATCTTTTAATCAAATCTCTGAAGGAATTACGAAAAGTAAAGTAAAAAACTGAGAAAGAATCTTTTTTCCTTAACCAATCTTTAAATAAGACTTTATTATTTCAGTTCGGTAACGTGATAAGCAAAACTTAAATCTAATTTTATAAGTCACATTGTGATATCTATTACAATTTTCGGTTTAACCTTTGACCGCTACAGCTGAGGATTTTCTAAGTGTTGTTTCCACCCCTAAAAGTGGAGAATGATACCTGTCCTTCCTCCTACCTTCCCAAACCCATCCCACAAGGTCACACATCTGGTTTCACACTTCTATATATTAATATTTAATTAGATAACCTAAATACTATGCCCTTTGGCCAATTTTACTTCATAATTTCCTTACGCATCCATACTAAGAAAATCCTAAGTAGAAGAAAAGCTTTTATTTCTTAAAGAACTTTTAAATGTGATGAAAATTGATAATTAACTACAGCTTTATTATGGTTTCAGTTACCACGTTTTTTACTTTTTTAGTTGTCTGGGAGACCCCCTCATAGCAGATGCATATCAATTTCAGTAGACAATAGACATTATTTATTGGATACTTGTTTTTTGTAAAAGTGACAAATATGGCTTCAAATTTTACAAGAAAACATTCCATATATCTCATTCAAAAAGAAATTGAATATCTTGTCAACAATATTTGTGATGCATTTCTGAAGAATTATGTAGTACTTCACAGCAAAAGCAAAAGTGAATCTGAGCTATCTGTAGATGAATATCAGAATACTGTGAACGAAATGATAATTTTTATGGAAAAAAGCACTTCACTGGTGCAAAAAAGGAACCAAATTTGGCAGTACGGACCCCAAAGCATAACCTAATAATTCAGCTCCTTGGTCTGAAACATCCTGCAAAAATAGGCTCTAAAGCAGAGCCCAAAAATACTTGGAATTTACGTTCATACATCTTGTTCCAGTCATATCCTGATGCTACAAAACTGAAAAGAAAAAATTTTATGCTTTTATTAGCTAATCAACTTATTAAACTTCCAGCACATGCGTGTGTGCAAAATTTACGACAAATTCAATTTTTAATGCCCATTTTTTGCATATCAAAGCTGATACGTCTGAATCTCATTTCTATTCTTCCTTTCTACCCTTCCCCACATCATGGAATGTGCCAACAGGAAGTCATTTGACTTTTTTTTTAACTGGGCTTTTGTGCTACGTGGCAGCTTTTTCATAAAAGTTACGACACACGCATGGTCGTGTTTTAAAATCTGGAAAATATTTTTTCTCAAATATTTTGTGTCATTTTATGTTATTAATTGCTGTGTATTATTTTAATTTGAATACATTTGGCTCTGTAAATTTTATATCGGTTTTCGTGGCAAAAAAAATATGTGCAACCAGCTAATTTTGCTTGGATTCTTCAAGAATTATCTGATGAAGACAAGGAAATCTTTGGATGGGAGAACAATAGCGATTTCCATTCCTTCTTTTCTTTTATTTCTATTTTTTAGAAATAAATTAAAACCTTAAAGTTAGTTTAAAGTGCATATTTTTAACAAGCAAATTTCCTTGCAGAAGTAATTACTTTTTTTCCTACCAAGATGTTTTCCTTTTTTATTGTCTATACTTGTCTTGGTACTATTAGGTTTTTAGGGCTGTAAAAAATCACCAAACTATTGTTGATGCCAGTGCTGCGAAAAATAATTGCGGCAACTCTAAAGCAAGAAAGGAAGTATAATAGTAAATAACTATCTAGATTGATGTTTTAATTTTGATGAAAGGTTAATTTCAATAATACTTTTTATATTATAATTTATATAAAAAGGCTAAAATGATGAATGGAAGCATAAGAGTAAATAACGATTTCAGATCATTATTATAATTTATATAAAATTTGCTAAACATAACGTAATGGATGCCTGCATCGCTATTTCGCTACTGAGTTATCGCTAGAGCATAATTTCATCTCGTTGGTTGTTCAAACATAATTTTCTATAATGAATGATGCTTTTTCTTTGAAAAATTCTCGGTTAAAGGGCAGAATCGCCCACTTATTTGTTTGCCGCTTTTTACAAGGATAAAAACAATTGGATTTTTGTCGATTTCTTTTAATTTTTTTTTAAATAAAAATAGATTCGATGTGTACATAGACAAATTTAAAGCAGTGCACAATGCCTAGTTTGTGCTATTCCGGGATTTTTTTTAAGTGAAAATAGGTAAGTTACATGGATACCGAGTATGTGCAATTCTTAAAAACGAGTCAAGCAGTAGGGGATTCTGCACTTTACCCAAAATTTTATTGCACACTTTTCGTCATGGGCAATTCCCAAATTGTTAAATCCATAGGATATCAAAAAAGAATTTAAAAACATAAAAGGATTTCAAAATTAAACTAGTATTTCAATGGCATCTTAAGTAAGATAGAACTATATAAACTTGCGTAATCTGGAATCAGCGCGTACGCTAGATTTGGCGCTTTTGCGCATACATTTTTGCTGCTAATTTTTTACGGTCCTCAAAACAGAATAGTAACCTTGTCTTTGATGAATATTAAAATTAGCTTCAATTTTAAAATAATTATTAAATAAGAAATTTAAAATTTCTATAATGAAATACATCATTACACGCCAATCTCACTAACATAAGAACTTAAAAACAATGTACTTATATTTGAATGTGATATCATTTGTATTTTCCAATAATAAGATTAATATTTTATTTCTTAACAAATTCATTCATTTCTGTCATTTTTCGTGCCAAAAACAATAAAATAACGGATGTCAGAAAAAATACGACTCGCGCGTGCTCATGTAAAATTGCCAAGCGTGTGCTGGAAGGTTAAACCACATTTGAAATTTGGGATAACTTCTCCTTTTTTGCCAAGAGAATTGAAGATAACAATTAGAAGAATCCTTGGACAGAAGGAAATTAAGAGAATGGATTTACCAAATCAAGAAGAAAAGTTCATTGAAAGAAAATCATGTAGTCTGTGCCCACCTTGTAAGAGAAACACAGCATACAAATGCTTGGAATGCAAGGAACCAGTGTATCTTCAGTGCTCTCAAAAAATGTGTTTTGACTATGTATCACCTTTGCAAACAAAGATATACCAATCTATTATTTATTAATAATTAAATTCATTGTTGTACAATTATGGTTTAATTGACAGTAATACTTAATAAAGTCACATATTTTCATGCCTGTTTAATAAAATCTTTGTTCCTTAAAACGAAGACGATAGTCATTTTTTATATGAATTTATCTGTGTAAAATTAAATGAATTAGAATTCCATATATATGCATAAAATATCTATGCCATTCTTTAAAAAGGCATAAAAGTATGTATTTTTACGCATTTCTCTAAAGCGTCAATTATGCCAAAAAAATTGTCAGAGCAGTTAAAGGTTCAATAAAACATACGAGCATGTTCTTTTCCCAAACCGCTGAACACTGCTTGTGAACACTTTTAAGACAGTTTTCATATATCTCGCGTATTGAAGCATAATAAAAATACTTTAGTCACGGCGAAATTTTTTGAAAGCAATGAAATACATGATTATTCACGTTTCATTCTTCTATAATAAACAAACTCACAACCCCATATAGTATAACAATTTGCAACTCAAGCAATCACTATTGCTATAAAATTAAGAGCAAGAAATCTTTCAGCCAGCTGCCTCAAATTAAAATTCTAAGTTGCCTCAAATTAAAATTACTCATGTTTGTTTTCAAAATGTTGATTTCTTGTTTTCTTTTTATTTTATTATTATTATTTTTTTTTTTGCTTCGATAATAGTTTATTTCGGAATGAAAATATTATTTGGCTTACATCGAATGGCAAGGTGTACGAAAAAAAAATTATTTGTGCTTGTGCATGAAACTTTAAAAAAATATATAATATGTAGGTTGGAAAATAATGCTTTACTTCACAAAAGAAATTACTGGTTATTTGATTATTAAAAAAATTACTGACTTGAAGTAAAGAACTAAAACAACAGAATTTATTTGGAATTGAAAGCTAAATTATTGATATACATATTATTTTAATTAACAGTAATTAATTAATTAAAAAGTAATCTGTGAGTTTATTATTCTTGTCCGAATTATATTATCCTATTCCGGAAACTTCAATAATTTGCTCATGACTGTCACTGTAAAAAATCGCTTTTCGGCCATTGCGTAGCAACTGATTGTTATTACGGTATTAAATTATTACCTGAGTGTGAATCAATATTTAACATGATGCAACTAGGTGGTACTCCAATTTTAGTTCTTAGTCAAGATACAACTAGAGAATCGGGACGTAAAGTTCAGGTTCAGAATGTTTTAGCGGCAAAAGCAGTTTCAGATGTCATTCGCACGTGCCTCGGTCCTAGAGCTATGTTAAAAATGCTGCTTGATCCTATGGGCGGAGTAGTTATGACCAACGATGGTAATGCTATATTACGAGAAATTACAGCTCAACATCCTGCTGCGAAAACAATGATTGAAATCAGTCGTACGCAAGATGAAGAAGTTGGAGATGGAACTACATCTGTAATCGTTTTAGCCGGCGAATTGCTTCATAAGTCTTTACCATTCTTGGAACAAAATACTCATCCTACAATAATTATAAATGCATTTCGTCAAGCTTTAGATGATGCTGTGAATATATTACAGTCTCAGGTATCCATTCCTGTTGATGTTGATAATTCAGAGATGATGTTAAAGATTATTATGGGTTGCTTACGAACAAAAGTCGTGGGAAAATGGGGTGAGAAAGCTTGTAGTATCGCGTTAGATGCTGTTAGAACTGTACAATTGGAAGTGAACGGTCGTACTGAGATTGATATTAAACGTTATGCTAAAGTAGAGAAGATACCTGGTGGTGCGATTGAAGATTCTAAAGTTTTAGATGGTGTCATGTTGAATAAAGATGTAACACATCCCAAAATGCGGAGATACATAAAAAACCCAAGAATTATGCTGCTTGATTGTAATTTGGAATACAAGAAAGGAGAAAGTCAGACTGAAATTGAAATTTCTAAAGAAGAAGATTTCACCAAAATTTTGCAGTTAGAAGAAAAATACATACAAGATCTATGTGCTGATATCATAAAATTTAAACCAGATGTTGTGTTCACAGAAAAGGGTGTTAGTGATTTGGCCCAACATTATCTTGTTAAAGCTAACATTACGGCTATTCGAAGAGTCCGCAAAACGGACAACAACAGAATTGCCAGAGCTTGCGGTGCTACTGTTGTAAATCGTGTTGATGAGCTGAATGAGGAAGATATTGGTACTAAAGCTGGTCTTTTCAAAATAGAGAAAATAGGAGATGAATACTTCTGCTTTGTTGTAGAATGTGAAAATCCTAAAGCTTGTACTATACTTCTACGAGGCGCAAGCAAGGATGTGCTTTCGGAAGTGGAGAGAAGCTTACAAGATGCAATGTGCGTTACTCGTAATGTTGTCTTAGAACCATACCTTGTGCCTGGTGGGGGTGCTGTAGAAATGGCAGTTAGTCAAAGATTGATGGAAAAGTCTAAAAGTATGACTGGTATTGGTCAGTGGCCTTACAGAGCAGTAGCTTCAGCTCTTGAAGTTATTCCACGTACCTTAATACAAAATTGTGGTGGAGATGTTATTAGATCCCTTACGGCTCTTCGGGCTAAACATGCAACTCCAGGAAACATCACATGGGGTATAGATGGAGAAACTGGTCAACTTGTAGATATGAATGCTTATGGCATATGGGAACCTTTAGTTGTTAAACTACAAACATATAAAACTGCTGTTGAGACGGCTATTATGTTGTTACGTATTGATGACATTTTGTCTGGAATTAAGAAAAAGGAGGATACTCCTCAAGTGAGTCATAGCCAAGAACCATCAGAAGAAGCAATGAAAGAATAAAATTAATTAAAAAAAAAAATATATGGACCATAATGCTTAATTTTTTTATCAACACTGACTATAACAAGTCTTGTTTGCTGTCATAATCTTCTCAGTTCTTCATTTTTAGGTTAAGGTACATGATTGCTCTTTTAATTGTTAAATTAAGTTTTCATAAAAATTCTTTTGTTCATGATTTCGAACATCAACTGTATGCATAAATTGTACCTTTTTGTGCAGAAGAAATGAATGCAGTTATTGCATTGAAAATTTAAGCATAATATTTTGCTACACCAGCAGCATTAATAAAGCTCTTGAATAAAATATGTTTTTTGTTAATTTTTGAAGCTCAACATGCTCTGCATTACTTGCTTACAGGCATCGATAAAATAAAGTATGAAATTTTGAAACTTATTTTATTCTCAAAATAGCTTTTATGTATATGTTTAATTTTCAAGCTGAAAATGAGTGTTTTAAATGTTAAAAGTGATATTTCTTAAGGAAAATAATTTGGAAGTTTTAATAAAAAGAACAAGCTTTTTATGTTTACATTTAGAATGAGTTGTAAAATAGTTCATCTTGCTTAAGTAATTATGAAATAAAGGTATTTTCCTGCATGTTATAAATCAGGTAAGAAAGTTGTTTGGTTATAAATTGAAAAAGGAGTTGTGTAATGATTGTATAGATTTCATTAAGCAATATTTTGACTTCTTTTTAAATTTACTGTTTATAAATAGTTAGTTTGAGGTATATATAAAGTGGCTTGCCAGTATGGCATTTTAAATTAGTTAAGTAATATAAAAATTTACCTTATTAAATAGTGTGTAAATATTGAGCGGAAGTTATTAATGTATGAATATTGGTGTTTGGGGAGAGTCTCTGCATGTCATTTTTAAGTTCTTAAATCATTTTTTTCTAAATATTTCATTAGGCATTTTTTAGTACAGAAATCCAGGTGTCAACTTTCATTCTCAAAAAGTAGCTAAAGCTACCTTTTCACTGTATTTTAAACGTATTTAAGCATTATTATTGTATAAGTTTATTCCCCAAGTGAACCTAATTTGCAAGATTTAAGTTTTGGGTCACCAAGGGCTATTCTGGTATTCTGAGCTAAGAAAATTTAAATTCCAAAATGAATCTTCAATTTTAAAAGACATTAACAAGGGCCTTAATAAAAGTGTGGTAACCTGAGTAGTTGAATGTTCCGTAAATATACTTTTAATGAGAATTAGGTGCTTCTTTGGCATTTTAAGTGAAAATATATCTGTGTATATGGACAAAGTCAAGAGCAATTGTCTGATGTTTTTTTAAGTGAAAATAGGTCAATGTGTGCATGGATACCGTGTTTGTGCAATTCTTTTACTTGTTATTTTGTCTTTGTCTAGCGCCGATTTTTGGTGCTAAGTTCATCGCTACGCAAAGCCAAAATAACAAGTCAAGGAATCGCACAAACTTGGTATCCATGTACCGCCAAAAATGGCATTGCGCAGTCCCTTTATCCACGTACACATCAAACTATATTCACTTAAAAAGTCAAAAGAGCAGCCAACAAAAAAATATATAATCTTAATAAACTATATTTTAAATCAAACAATGAAATAACATAAAAAAGGAAAGTAATTTTTGCACTACACAAAGGAAATATCCACTTACCTTATTTATGAATTAACACTTCGGCTAATCTTTGGAATATAGTAACAGGTAGTTTGACGACATTTTGTTAAGGCAATAAAGGTTACTAGCTAGGACTTTAGCAGTGTACATGGATAAAGTCAAGAGTGTGCGCAATGCCATTTTTGTGCAATTCTGGGATGTTTTTTAAAGTGAAAATAGGTCGACGTGTACATGGATACCGTGTATGTGCAATTCTTAAAAATGCTGCAAGCAGTGGGCGATTCTGCACATTCTCCCAATTTCGCACCTAATATTCGTCATGATTAAGCACTTTTGTTCTATAAAGGTTGTAGCATAAGCGTAATTCGGCTAGCAGATTGTTAGAAAAAATGTTGATTAAAAAAAAAAAAAAAAAAGCCTTTACTTCGTGAAAACAAAAAAAACTGTCAGGGTTGTTTTTTTTTTTTTGGAAAAAATTGCCAAGTTACCATAATCCAAAGATTAACCAACACGTCTTCAGTCTAACAAAATTCCTTAGCATCCAAAAACTTTCTAAAATTATCTAAACTAGAATCCGTATACTGGCATCTCTACATAAATTCACAAAATAAGAGTAAAAAATATCCTCCATTGCAATGTTTGACCATACGCATTTTGTTCCTACAAACAGAACGCCTAATAATGGCTACTAAGTAAACCTTCATTTACATACCAGTCAAGTAATGCTCTTTTCACCTTTTTTTCCAAATCTTACAGCAACTTCAAATTAATTTTACCATCTAAACCACAAAGCAAGTAATATACTTCCTATCCAACACACAGACCAGAAATCCGTACGAATTTACTGCAGTCATGCAACCAATTGCACCACAATAGGGTTTCCATAACATTCAACTACTCGGGCTACCATAAATGAAACAACAACTTCACGATAATACAAGGGGTATCCTTCTCTCTACTCTAAGCCCTAATTTTTTGGAAACACTTCTGCAAAGAACCAGGTGAATGTAAACGTTAGCGATAATAATTCAAACCTGATAACCCAGCAGATTCAACAAATGTAAGAAATTATTTTTGTTGTGTGAGACATGGCTTGCTTGCATTGAAGCAATTTTCAAAGATTATTGCTTTCGTCGCGAAATATATTCTATAATACTCTAACTGAAGTGGCTTAGGCAAGTTCCATTTTTATGTAATGCATGCCTTTTTAGGAAACAACTATGCTTAACATAATTTTTTACCAACCAGAATTCTATTAAATACTATGTTGAACTCATTTTTAACTGCATATGCTTAACATGCTTTTTTGGTAGCAATTTAATTGCACTGATTATTACATTGCTTAATATGTTTATTAGCTAATTTTTAACTTTCATATTCAAAATGCTATATTTGACTTGTATATGCTTTGTATAATGTTTATTTCAAAACTTAACCATATTGCTAAAACCATTACCATTACCAAGCTTCTCAACAATAAAGGCACTGTCGCCAAGGGGTTCTTTGCAGAAGAAAACCTGAATTCTGCGCCAAAAACCCGTTACTGAGACTTCGCATTGACAAAAGCACATTTTTTTTCTTTCATTTTCGATATTAAGTAGATATTTTTTTATGTCAGTCATTTACTTAAACCTATGCTTTATCCAGCGTTACAATGTATTTTAATTTTTCTCCTGCTAACTAGTTTTCATGCAGAGTTGTACAAATTATTGTGCGTTGAGCCACATGTTTTAATAAAATATGATGAACATTATGCTTTCACCATTTCTAAGTTTTAAATCTGGAATTATTTTTTTATTTACTGTTTCTACAGATGTGTTTAGCTATTATATGATTGATTTCTGCATTGCTAGATTTTTTTGTTTTTACCAACATTGGTAATATCCTAGTATACAGTCAGCCTTAGCATGATTTTGAAAATTATCGCCAATACCAAAATGACCCATTTACTATTCACCATATATGTCACATTTACATTATAACGTTGCCAAATCCCGTGTGCACTGTATACTAGGATTAAACCCCAACATTTTTAACATTAAAAGTAGTACATACCTTCTTCAGATATTCTTTCTTTCCATGTACTTAGTAGCCAGTTCAAGATTACATTTCTTTGTTTACCTACATGAAAACTATTTTCACTCTTAAACAAAATAAATAAATAACCCTGTTAACCTTATTAAGTGAAATTATGTGCATAAAAGAATCTGGTATGTCCAATATAAACCTGACTGGATGATGATTGAATAGCCAAGAATACGTTTCAGGAATGCAATATTGTGAAAATACATGCATATTTTATTTTTTAAAACTTTCATCTTTAACTATGTGATATATATATATATTGCTTTTTTGTGATCACTACTGCTTTTATATAAAGAACATGTTTTCAAACATATATAATCGTTATTACGTATAATTGTTCAAACTAATGGTAAGAATTAAAAAAGAGAAGTATAAAAGTTAATAATGCTGGAGTTGTATATATCATAAACTGGTAAAACTGGACATTACAGTCCAGTTTGGCGCGTTTTCAAAAAATTACTAAATCAGTTGTTTTCGTGTGTTTTAGAAAATTGCTAACTCATCATACGCCATAGTAGATGGTTGTGAATTTGAATTAATTCTGTAAACACGCAAAAATATCTAAAACAGGACTTCAAGAAAAATGTTTTTCCCATGTCAGATAATCTTAAATTTAAACTGGTGCTGGAAAATGTCATCCATTGTAAATAAATAAATTTTTTGTTGGATAATCAACTGTTTAACATCAAGATGATAAGATGAAGTTCTGTTTCTTATTTCTGCAATAATGTTTAGTCATTTCGTTTTACATGAATGGGAAATTTTTAAAAGAATTTAATTCTATAAATCTGCTGTAAAAACTTCTGCTTAAATGCAAGCTAGCAAAGTTCTAAGTCTGGGTAACCAACAGGTTGACATATTAATAAATAGTTTTACCTTTTACTTCAGCTGTGATCCTATTAGTTAAAGCGCGGACAAGATAAAAAAGACCAGTTTTTTATGGTTGGGTTGTTCAATGGTGATCTGGTATTTTTAAGTACGAGGGCAATCGCAAAAAAAAAAGTTCTATATTTTTAGATATACAAAGAACCGTTTATTTTCTATAATTGCTACATCACTTTAAAGATTGAAGAATACTTTATTTTTCAACATAATCACCATTTCGGTCGATGCATTTTTGTAGACGCTGTGGCAGTTTTACGATGCCCATGTCATACCAGCTTGCCGCCATGCCCTTCAGGAAGCGTTGAACCTCATCATCGGATCCTCCGATCTTTACGCATGAGTTCCTCAACTTTCGCGATTGTCTCGTCGGCAATTGACGGCCTCCCGCTACTTTCTTCGTCATCAATTTCAGTACTACCGTCTGTAAACTCTCTACACCACTTGCGAACGTTTTTGACATCCATACACTTCCGTCAATGGGCGGTAAATTTCAACCGGTTTAATGCCTTTTTCGTTCAAAAATCGAATAACTGCGCGCACTTCGCACTTGGCGGTAACGTTTATCGGGAGCTCCATTTCGAATGGCTGCCAAGCCAAGACTGAGCATCCGAGCTTATGCTTATGCTTTACTTTCACTACAGGCATCAACTTCTAAGAGTTTAAACCTGATCATTCTAACTTGCCATACGGCCATTCACAGTTGTAGAAAAAATTTAGGACGCTATCACGCCACTCACCCG